ATTTTCAAAAAATGACACTATTTATATTATTTAAATAAATTTGAAAAAATATATTAAAGATTATTTCATAAAAAAAAGGATCAACATTGTTAATTTTACAATATTTCAATTATTATATTATATTGACAATGATAAAAATTAAATAAATAAATAATATAATTACTATTTAATCAAATAAAAAATTTAATTAATTACAAAAATGATAAAAAACAAATAAAAATTAAATATATATTTTGTTTTACAAAAAAAAAGCAGACTATTAAACAGTTTGGACCGACTGTTAACAGTTGACGAAGTTGTTAACAGTTGACCAAGACTGTTAACAGTCGGGTAAACCGACTGTTAACAGTCGGTTAAGCCGAAAATCGTCATTGCCGGCGATAGAGCTCCAAAAATTACAAAAAATTCACATTTTTTACACTCCCAGCATGCCCACAATCTAACTACTCATGCCCATGGATCTAATTAAATCGAATAATATAAGGAAAATACTAAATTTACTTATTCAATAAATTTTCTACTGAAACAAAAAGTCATCATGAAAACTAATCGGTTATTTTATTTCCGGTGTAGATGAAGGTTGTTGACTGCGACGTTGGTGTAGTTGCCGGTGGTTGATCGGTCAAATTTCTAGTGACTGTGCGTCGATTTCTTTTTTGTCGGTCGGTTAGACAGAATTTTTCAAACAGTCTGAAGGGTAAAATCGTCTTTTACTGTGAAGTTTTTTTTTTTTAACTTAATTTTTTTTTCTTTAATTCATTTAATGGGTCAAAGGTCAATGTCAAATTTTGCTATAGTGGAAGAGCCATTTTCGTATATTTCCTCTCAAGTATAAGCAATTAAGACACCTTATCAGAAACAGAGCATTCCTATAAATTGAACTGTATCAATTAACAACAAAAAGGATTTAATACTTGTGACACCTCCGTGTACCTACCCTCAAAACAAGAGGGATCCACGACGAATAAAAAAATCGTGGGACGCCCTATTTGTAAGGGGTTGGTACACCGGGGTGCCGGTGTACGAATAGCATGGTCCCAACAAAACAGATATTCCTATATATATATTAGGGAAATAATTCTTAAAACTTTCTCCGCTAAATTTTTTCAAATGAAAAACTAATTTTTTGAAAGTGGTGTGTTTGAGATGCATCCTCATGAAAGCATATGGAACCACATTTCACTGAGGGATACACCAGACTTTTGGTCAAGAAAATGAAATATATAGTGTTTTGTCCATCGTACGCGTTCTAAATCATGGATTTTGTTTTATGTTTAAGGGTATGAACCAATGTTTTGTATAAAGCTGACAACGACACTATTGAGTCGGACATGAAACTTCTGATGACCTATCAATTCAACCAATTTACTCTCCGTCCAGTTAAAGATTATTGGGAATCTTTATTTCCTTTTTAATGACGAAACCTCCTTTTATTCTACCGATGTCTATGCCCATAACAAATGAGAAGTACCTTGATATTCTGAGAAATTCAAACATTAATTAATATTAAACATAAATTCTCTTTGATTTGGTGGTAAAAGATATGGTTTTGACAGAAGTATTCTCAAAATATTTCTAGTATCCAAATGCTTTTTGTGGTGCGATCCACGCGTCACATCCAATCAGCTATCAAATGCCGTGGACTAAACTCATCATTGGATCTTAGACGTCGTATCCTAAATATAGAAACGAGTGCATGAATTGGCAGGACACGTGTTTTAAATATATATGGCAATGTACTTTCTTTCTTTTTTATTATGTCGGGCATTGGAAGTAAACGTAGGCCATACCATTTCTCCATTTTTCCACCCAACCTAACATTCCTACACCACTCTCTTTATTCATCTTCTTTCCAAAAATTAAAAAATTCTGAATTATAATTTGCAAATTTGCAACAGAAGCCTAAATTGCACACACTCTTATTACGGGTTGATCAGTTCCTCTACAAGGATATCCACTTGCATTATATGTATTTTTGTTCTATTCTTTTATTACTTATTAAGTATAATCTAAAATAAAATAGATTGTATACATCTAATACCTATTTTTCTTTCTTTTTAGTTGAATACTGGCATTGCAAGCTTTTGCACACATGGCCTTTCTTTTTCTTCTTCTTCCTTGAAATCAAATCGAAATCGAGTTACAAATTGTATAGGTTGGTTTGTGTAAGTTTATTTATTTATTTATTTTTTTCTATGAATTGATCGAATTTTGGAGAATTTAGTTTGATTTGAATTAGCAGAGAAGTGTAAATAAAGCTAGTTGATTTTT